TCGACGACATCAGGGAGGGAGTTGCATAGTTAGGAGAACCTACGGATGTAATCCCGCAGGGACTCACTGGGCTCCTGCTGGCAGCTCTTGAGGTCCCAAGAGTTACCAGGGCGGACATACATCCCCTAGAAATTTCCAACGAAGACCCTCTTGAGGTCCGCCTAGTCGCAGATGCTGTTGTGTGGGAGGAATTCAAGCCATGCCCGAACATGTTCCCTGACGTAGATGGGGAGATATTGAATGATGAACTAGTCATCATCCACCCCTCTGGCTCGGTAGGTGAGCCAGAAATCTTCGAGCCATATACCAGGGTTCATCTCCCCGGTGTACTTGGTGATGTTGATGGGCGGTCGGAAGCGCTGTGGGAACGGTGCTCTCTGGATGCATCGGCCAAAGGCCCGCGGTCCCGGGCCCTCTAGGCTAGGACTCCGGTCATCTGGCCGGCGATCATGCCTAGGGCGTGTTTCACTGCTCCCCTCGATGGTCCGGTTGGGACCCGTGTCGCCTGCCCTTACCGCCGCCCGATGGACGTCATCATCACATCGAGCCTGATGTCGGTTGCTGATGATGCTGCGAGCGTCTTGGTTCAGACCGAGTCGTTCGTGTACCGGCAGTCAGTGTGGAGCATGCGCCAGGTCGGACCGCGGCGCAGCTACGGCCTCCTGTGCCGCGCTTGGTGGCTCTAGCGGTGAGCGGATGGAGCGATCCGTCTGGTGCGTCCCCGCTCCCCTGGTGGGGAGAGAGGCTGCGAGTCAGAGTCGCGATGCGGAGCTCTCCGCCTGTTGAATGACGGTGGCTTCCACCAGCGCCTGGAGGTTTCGGTGGACCGCCCGCTCCTGGGGGTCGACGGGCTCGGGAATGCCACGCAGAAGCATTGCCGCAGCGGCGATGTTCTGGCTAGCCCGAGCGAACTGTGGAGGGTCATTCCCCTCGCCCATGATGTCGCGCTGGACCTGGCAGGCACGACCCAGGGCGCCGCTTGCCGGGTTACGCGCATGGGGCGCAATGTGCTGCACCGAGCGCACCGGCGCAGGTGGCAGCTAGTTCTACCGCCGTTGTCGTAGCTCCTCGGCGTGCTCTTGTGCGAGCGCGAGGGCCCCCGCACGAGGGTCCAGAGGGGTGCGAGTCTGCAAGTACTCCGCTATCACCGGCGGCTGTCCCAGAGCATCCGCCATAGCGCACTCTCAGGACAGACGGTGGCTAGGTGCCACATCGCCGATGCTGGAGCCATCGCTCTCAACCTCGTCATCTAGGAGTTCGTGGAAAGTGGTGGGAGCATAGCTCGCCATTACCATGAATTCAGATGTGAGAGGGGGTGGCGCCAGCGTCCTTTGGAGCCCCCGAGCGTACGCGTCCACGGGGGACGCAAGGCCGTAGGGGAACCGGGCGTACGGTGGTTGTGGTGTGGACAATGTGGTCCCCCGGGATAATCGGCGAAAGATAGTAAATAGCGAGTAAATAACAACATGTACATTACTCACAGCGGGGTTTGAGCAGAGCGTTTGCTCGGAATGAAGCGCAGGCGCTTCGTCGTTGAAGTTGTCGTGTGTCCCAGAGCCGATGGAGGGTGCCCCTCCGACGGGCGCCGGAACAAGTGCCTCCTCGTGGAGGCATAGTACGTCGAGCCAGTCGGCGATGAAGTCCAGGCTTCCGAAGAGGAAGGCCTGGGATGGCTTGAAGACGGGTGGAACCCACATCCCAACAGGTGGGAGTGCGGGAAACTCCAGTGAGCCAAAGCGAGTCGTATTGCTTGAGCCCGCCATGGCGAAGATGGCGGAAAAGTGGGCCATCCAATGACCAAAAGCGTGAACGTACAGCGTCTTCCCCACGGACGGCGCCAATTGTCGGTGCAGAAAGTGACCAACACGTAAATATTTGTAGTTTTGTCGTACGTTGTGATCGGATGTAGCCTAGCACTCAATGACATAGGGGTTATACTGGTTCAGGCAACGTGCCCTACGTCTAGTTTGAGTCGGTCGGTGACTTTATTCCTGAGCCCAGGTGCTCGAAGTTTGCTGTGGGGTTACAAACAAAAGGGAGAAAGATGGGGGTGCAAGAGGTCCGATCGGACTCTGGTCTGAAGGGCCGAGAGTGACAGGAGCTCCACTGTGTGCTAAGTGTTCGAGCGTGTGCTCGAGGTTTAAACCTAGTGGTTCTGTTGTGGTGTGTGAGTGAACTGATGGATCTCTGTTGGGAGAGAGCGCATCCCCTTTTATAGATGAAGGGGGCAGCCTTACAAGCGAGAGGGAGAGAGTATGCATGCTACCAAGTCTTGTTGCCCACGCCGTCAGGTACAAGATGATGTTAGGCGCCCATAACACTGTTGTTGTCAGACGCATGTGGGAGGTTTTACCGTATTTACCATGTATGGTAGATGACGGCGCCCACAACATTGTTGATGTCCAGAGGCATTTGGGGGAGCCTTACCGTGTTTGTCTGGTATGGGAGTTGATGGCGCCCACAACACTGTAGGGCAAATGTCGGCGCCCACAACACTGCTTGGGTTCTGACATGCCAGGAAGGTTGCAGGGTACCCTTCTGACATGCCCTGTTGGTACTGTCCTGTAGGTGTATAGGGTACAGTCATCGGTATTGCGGTTTGACTTGAGTGCACTGCCTTACTTTCTCCGTCCGTTTCCTGGTCCTCATCGAGCGGGCGTCCCCGGTCGGTTGGTCCTAGTCGGCTCTGATTGCGCCAGTCGGAGAGGAGCTGTAAGCAAGGGTTCGGCGCATCCCCGGTCGGAGACGCGGGTTGGAGTCGAAAGTGGTGTTTGGCCAGGCCTTCCAGTCGGAGAGGCCGTCCGGAGGCGGGCCAGAGTTGGAAGCGGGCGCCGTTCCTCCTCGGCCAAGCCTTCCGGTCAGAGATTGGATCGCCCTTCTGGCCTGTCGTTTAGGTATTTGGGCCGGCCCAGGAGTTGCGCGTCGTTCGCAACGTCGTCTGCTGGGTCGAGCCTTTACTAGGAAGCCGGTCCATGAGGGACCCCGGGTTTATGAACCCAACACCTGCGCTGGTCTTCTTCCTCTGGGAGTCCAGCATCGCTGCCGCAAACAGGAGCCCCCTCTCCTTCGAGATCCCGGCACCTCCCTGCCCCACCACGCCACGCCGACAGCCCCCATTGCCCCGCCCAGACTGCTTGCTACACGCGTAGATCTCGCGTCGCCTTCCGCCCCGCTGCGATGCATAGGCGTGCCGCCTTCGTCGTCGCCGCAAGGCTCGGCTTTGACGGTCTCACGGGCAATCCCCTCGGATCGCCCGTTTCCTCGTCCGTCCCGCAAGGCTCGGCTCCAACGGGTCTCACGGGCATGTCACGTCCATACGGTTTCCAATACGCATACATGCCTGACAATGGGTCCATGTACGCGAGAGACGTAGAAAATGGCATGGATGAAGCAGGGATGAAATTATGATGGCAGTTCTCTAAATAGGTGAATTGTAATAGCGTATCTCCAAACTTCAAAAATTGTAATAGCCTGGTTCAAAAAAACCCTAAATTTTTCGGGTCTGAGGTCCTATATCAGTGACTGGTTTTGTTAAAACGAGTCACTCATCGTTGTCCCCTGTGACCAGAGACGCGTCTAGTTGTTTTCTGACCATGGGTGACAACTAACCAGAGACGTGTTTCGTTTACTCGCGTCAGTAGTGTGACATTAGTGACGCGTTTTAATTCCCGGTCACTGACGAAGGTGTCTCATTTGTGCTGTTTTGGCATAGTAGTATAGTACCTTACAGAGCTAGTAAACTGCACATCAGCATTAGCATTCAACAATCACCCCAAGAAAAACTACCAGATCAACAAAGAAACATAGGAGTAAGCTGAAAGCACAGGATACAAATACAAATACAAATACACAGCTCTTGAAAATTTACTTATGGTTACTTCAGAGTTCAGAATGGAAGACCCTAAATCTGTAGCCTGAGCACTGACCAAATATGAGTAAAATCTCAACTGTTTAGGAAAATACAAACCTTTTGCTATCATGTCTACCATCCACTCATCACCACATATGACATTGATGTCATCATGGGACTACAATTCTATAGTTACAATTCCTCTCAAATGTACAATAGCCAAATAATGTCCCTACAATCGGACAACTTAAGCTCCATGAGAAGCTCTGCTGTTGACTTTGGATCTTAAGTTAGTCCCTTCCATAAAAAGATGGCCAGCGTTCCATATCTGTTGAGTACAAAACTATAGATTGTTAGGGAAGAATGACCTCACACACAGTTCCACTGGGTCTAGGTTACAAGTATGCAGAGTATGGGCCAAAAGGGCTAAGGCCTACATGGGCCAGAACCCAGAGAGAAACAGAAGAGATAACACTATATATGTCTGTAGATATTAACATAGACAACCATTAAAACTTTTGGAGACACAGATGCCCAACCTTTACCACTGCATAGGGCAACTTAATGGTTTCGAGCAAGAAAAACACCTTTAACAATAAATAAGTTAAGATTTTCAGCTGACAGGTAACAAAGTGAGCCTGGGATTTAAGAAGTCCAGTTAATGAAATGGTATTGAACAAAACCAATTTGTCGCCATGTCAGAACTACCAGAATGAATTTGCTGAAAGATAAATTCAGTTCTAGGCCCATGGTTCTCATTCTTAGGAATCATATGATGGTCTGTCACCAGTTAAAGAATGTCATGAATCGTTCTACCATTCAAATTTGATACTGCAATGGTATAACAGGAGTAAACGGAAACACATGAGTCACATTACCTTTCCCCAAAAATGTAAGTGAGATGACCATGAAATGATGAAAGTAAAAGAGAAGGTATACAAAAGAAAATAATATGGCCGAACTACTATTTCTTTAAGTTGGTCTTACCTCAGTCAAAATTTATTTATGTTGCATAAGTAGTTTGTTTGGTTCTGGATAGGTTTTATCCGAACTCAAACCTCCAGAAATTGAGTGCTATCAGAGCGTCAACATCCAGAATCGATTTCTGCAACATTTGGCTAAAAATGGATGAACCTTAAGAACAAAAGAATCATGCACCTCTACAAATATTGTCAATAAAATCACTTCCAGTTTCATCCATGTGTTGGACTAAGATCTGCAATACCTCATCTGCCAAACTAACTTGAGGACTGCTACTGTCAGCTGTGCTAAAGCTATACATCTCATCTGTTAACTCTATCCAACTCATTCCTACTTCCTTACTGCTTCCTGTGCCCTTCAACAACATCCTTGTCACAGCATACTCACCCCATTTGCTATCTGCAGCACATATGTTTGCAAGCAGGATGTAAGCCTCCACCGCATCAGGGTTAATCTCAATTATTTTCCCTGCAGCTAGTCTGCCCAGCTCTAGATTCCTGTGCATCTTGCAAGCACCAAGCAATGCTCCCCAGACAGATTCATCAGGAGTGAGTGGCATTGTATCAATGAGGATAAAGGCTTCTCTCAGCCTCCCTGCACGGGCAAGAAGATTGATGACACAACCATAAATCTCCTTGTTAGGCTGAATATTATACTCAAATAACATTGACCTGAAAAGGTTCCATCCTTCGTCTACTAAACCAGCATGGCTGCAAGCACTGATCAGGCCCAAGAACACCACATGGTCTGGATGAACCCCAGCATGGACCATGGAATTAAACAGCTTGATGGCCTCATTCACATAACCATTCATCCCATACCCACCAATCATTGATGTCCACGATAATATGTCCTTGCAAGTCATCATGTTGAATACCTTCTTAGCATTCAAAATGTTTCCACACTTGGAGTACATGTCCACAAGGGCATTGGAAACTTTTAGGTCATCACCATAGTTTCTCCGGAGTACAGCCCCATGGACCTGCTGGCCACATCTCAGAGCTGAAAGACCAGCACATGCTGAGGTGATGCTAGTTAGAGTCAAGCAATTTGGTTCGATATCCATGTTGACAAGAAGTTGCATGGCCATTAGAGGATCACGCCGGCTATATCCAGCAATAATGGTATTCCAGGTGACCAAGTTTCTTTCAGGCATTTCATCAAAAAGCCTCCTTGCATCCAGTATGTTTGCACAAGTGCAGTACAAGTCAACCAGAGAATTTGCAACAGCAAGGTTCGCTCCAAGAGCTATCCTCATGGAGAGTGCATGAATTTGCTGTCCAAAATATAAGTTACCTACTAAAGAACATGCATGGATTGCAATAGAGCAGATGAACGGACTCAGCTCAACATCATCCTGCACTGGAGAAACAACAGCTACTGGATCATGAAAACAAATAAGGTTTTCTCAAGACACTAAACATGTAAGCTACAGCAAGAATTCCACAAGCAAGTATGACAAGACAACATTTCCTGATACATTAATCATCTACCTAAGGCTACAATAATGCCGTCACTATAGAGGAGCATATTAATACTTTGATAGGTGAATACTTCAACAATCAGCATATGGTACTTGTACTAAGAATATTTAGCGACAACTAGCATTGTTCAAAATTTCAAATCATAAGGATCCTGCCTTTTCGCTGAAGTTCACAAAGTATAGACGGTTCCTCTGATGGCCATTAATCATAAAAAAAAATAAAGGCTATAAGTTTTGTTTGAGCACTATAAAAAAAAATAAAGGCTACAATTTTTTTTAAAAAAAAACATTGTGAGATATTTCCTGTAACAGAACATACGTTCAAAGAACAATAGAGATGTCGAATTTATACATCACAAGGTGAAGAGATAAGTAAAACCTGAATCATATTTTGGAACAACTGTAGCCCCGTGTTCTCCTGTCCCCAACGAGCATAACCGGCTATCATGGACGTCCACGACGCGGCCGTGCGTCCTTCCCCGAGCGCATCGAACAGCCACCTCGCGTCCACGAGGCCGTCCCCGCCTCCGCGGGACCCGTACGCGTTGATGAGCGCGTTCACGACATACGGCGTGTGGTCCACGCCCCGCCGCAAAGCGAGGGCATGGATCGACGCTGCGCCGCCGCCACCGCCGGCACGGCAAGCGGTCAGGACGCTGGACAGCGTGAACTCGTTGGGGATGACGCCGGCCGCGGCCATGGACCGGAATAAGTCCAGCGCCTCACGGTGGCGGCCGCTGGATGCGTAGCCGGAGAGCATGGCCGTCCACGCCACTACGTCCCGGTCGGGCATTTCGTCGAACAAGGCGCGCGCGTGGAGGACCGCGCCTCGCGCGCACAGGGACTTGATGAGGGTAGTTGCGTGTTTCTGCGACATGGGCTTCGGTGTGCTGCAGCGCTGGGCATGGCCGCATGGGCTTTCTTTGAGGCCTTGCGGCTTGCGGGTCACTGTTGCAGAAACTCCTGCAAGGCCAGGCCGCCTCTCACATTTTGCAGACATTAGGATATACTCCTACATAATTTAACATGGAACACAAGTGATTTTTTAAGTGTACAAGTACAAATAATGTATATACATACTTATCAACAGTCATGGTCTACAAACATGAGGTATGAAAACCCATGCTCAAGTGAACTTTCAAAAAGTCGGTCTAGTCCAGAAATATAGAGTAAAAAAATTAGAAAAATTTCATAGAAAAATTAGATTTTTAAAAGAAACAATTAAACAATTTATAAGGTTTATAGTTAATAGTTAGTAATTTTTTAAAAAAAGTTTAACAATAGTCCTTCTATCTTGAAATACTAGCCGTATTTAGATCAGGGAAAAGTCAAACAAAATTATATTAATCTATTGATGCAAGTTTTATATTCCTAAGCGCGTATTGTAACACCCTCGGTGTTACATTGTACTATTTTGTTAAAACGTTGCATGAGCATCATACTTATGTGCAATAGTGTGTAACATAAAGTATAAATCAATGTTCGGCATTTGAAACGTTTATCCGAAACAAGAAACAAATGTTACGTTTCATGTCGCATAATATTGTTTAATATTCTAAGCGAAATTTTATCGAACAAAAATGCTATAGCACGTTTATGCGAACTTTGATAGGGTTGTAGTACGTACTCCGTAGGCGACGATGAAATAGGTGTGGTCGAGGACGAGGTTCGCTAGCTAGTATACCTAGTAGGTCGAAATTGGAATTCGACGCGAAACCGTTCGAAGTTTAAGTCATTTCGCGTAAGTTTGAAAAGGGGTCGACGAAGCCATGTTCGGCAAAGTTTGTAGAGCGACCGGGTTAAGAAGTGGCGAGATGTTTTGGCATGATTAGCTAGCCTTAGGTACCCTTTTCCGTGTAGAACAACTGGTTGGGCAGTTGTAGCATCGGATTTGAGTTTTTGAGCCGCTTTAAAAAGCGTGCAGGTCACATCTGTGAGCAGAGCCGCTGCTGGTCGCGGTCACCACTTGGCTCGGTCTGGCGCCGCTGTTGGCCGCCCAGCGCGCTGCTGCGCCGGCCGCGTCCTCGCTACCGCCCCTGCAAGCACATCACTCACGTGGTCCTTGCGTTGTAGGCCACGACCGCCTACCACCACGCTGGCGCGCAGCTAGCACCGCCGCTGCTGCCGTGCCGCGTCCTAGGCGCCTGCCCACGCCCTGCCCATGCATGGGTCGGTTGCGCCACCGGGTCCCACGCTGCTGCTCGAGCTGCCGTTGCTGCACGGCACACTACGCACACACGCACTCGCACTGCGTCGGTGGACCGGCTACTCTACCCCGCCTTCGCGTCGCACGGCACCCGATCGCGCTGCGCGCCGTCCATTGCCACGCGCGGCACTGTTTCTGTTGACCCACCACAGCTGCGCGCGCATGGGACGGCTGCCTACTTCGCCAGCATGTCAGTGTCCGCTGCCACACTACGCCATTGTCTCCTCTACGCTGCTAGCCTCTACGGTGATAGCGCCAAGCCGACGTGCCTACCTTCCCCTGTTCCTCCATCGCCGGGCCGCGCCGAGACAGTGCAACTTCTGCAAAGGCAGTGAGGTTGCGTGCCTTGGGATGGAGTGAGGACTTAGCCACACGCCGAATGCGTCCACTGTTATTGCCGGCCTTTGCCATGCTTAATTGGACAGTTCCGTCATCGTCGGTCGTTTTAAGACCCGTAGCCGCGCCGTGAAATTCCCTTACCCACGTCCACCGCTGTCCAATTGCTTGTCACCGCACCTTCGCCCTGCTCCGGTTTACCACGTGTGTGCCCTAGTTCGCCCTACTGTGGCCTGCCCAGCGCTGCCACCGCAGTCTTGCCATAGCCACCGCCATAAGTCCTGCCGGGTACACGTGGCCAGGTCTACTCGAGCCGTCTCCGGTCAAGCCACCGCGATCGGTAAGCACGGGGTGAGTTTCTATTGCCTCCCCGTGAGTTGGTTCACGCTGTTGAGGTTGTGGCTCATAGAAACACGTCCGACGTCGCAGGGAAAGGGCCATCGCTGGGGAGGGAGCTTGGGACAGCGTCCCCATTCGCCGTATCGCCTCCAATCATTACGCGTTGAAGTCAAGGTGAGCATTGGCTCCTTAGGTTGGGATTGGAGGGTCGGGTGTGGCCGGCGTAGCCGCCCGGTGCCGCGCTGTCGCGCTGGTGCACACACGGGTGCCGAGGGACGTCGCCGTGGCGAAGAAGGGAATGGAGAGGGTGGTAGTTGAAAAATCTATGACTCAGTGTAATAGTTCTTGTGTTAGTTTTGATAATAGGGTAAAGAACGGGGGTTTATTCGCTAAATGCGCCAGCCACGCGCGGCTCCGCTGTGGGCTGCCTTCGTTGCAATGGACGCTTGGTAAGTCACAGATCTATTGTCCCGAGCATATACTTGGGTATGGGCGTAGGGAAGACTTGTTGCTCTCTTATCGCGGATTGGGCTATTTCCGGACCGACTGATTGGAGACGGAGATGGTGGAGGTCCTGGCAACACACTGAGTCCGAGACTCAGGAGTTGGGGCTTGGAGTCCAAGTTTGGACGGGGACCTAGACACCTGGGATAAGAGAGTGATGGGTTAGTCCTGCTTGTGCCTAGGGTACAAGCGGGGCATGTGTTTTCGGAGCACCCAACTGGGCACATTGATTCGCGGATCACCGCCGAGTCAGTACGACTTGTCTTAACTCTAACATCGTAGTAAGAACTGAAAGATGGAAGGTGGTGAAATGGAACTGATTGCTCAACCCTTGCTTGAAAATAGAATATGTGCTTATATAGACTGCATAGATAATAACTTAACGCGGCCAATAATAACAACCTAAATAAGGACTCACTATTAGTATTGTTTTCTGCTAAAATAAACCAGCAAGCCATAAAGCTTCTCATATTACTTGGAGTCAGGAGTTTATTTCCACTAGTCAGGTAAGTCTTGCGAGTACATTATGTACTTAGGGTTTATTTACCCCTGTTGCAGGTGATGCATGAGATGTACCTTGTGTGGAGGATGCTTCTGGTGGGCGCAGACGGATCCTCGTCCCTATCGCTAGATGTTTATTTTTAAATTTCGCTGTTTATCAATCCGCACTCTGATATTTGGTATTGTAATAATGTACTTTTTAAGAAACTCTGATGTATGAAATGGACAAGTATTGTAACTCGTTCTCATTATTGGATCCTTAGGAAAAATGTGGATCTTTTGGGTTCTCCCTTGGGGTGTGCTCGACGGATACCGCCCGTTGTAGCTTGCTTTTGGGGTGCTTAGTGTTTGATGGAAGAAGAGGACCTCCGTAAGTATGCTATTCTAAGCGGTTCTGCCACAGATGATACCAGAGCCAATAATGGTCAAGAGTTTCATCATTCTTTTTTCAAAACTAAAAATTTGACCAACAAAAGCTTTGCGAAAAGGAGGATGCGATTAAGTTAAGTTAAATAAGTATAAGCCCTAACAATATGGTCTATCTAGGATAGCGGCACTAGTTTTATCTAATCGATTTTCTGCAGGTACACCGACTTACGTTGAGTAAGAAATCACTTAGTATACAGAAAGTGAGTGTGCGATGTGCCAAAAAGTTTTATGAATGCCGCTATATTCTGGCTTGAGTGAACGTATAGGCCGAAGCATGCATCATAATAACATCATCTTACTCAAATTGAAATCCCCTCCTTCACATATAATTGAGTTAGTAAGTTGATAGGACTAACTAAAGGAATGCTTTAATAATTGTGCTATCAATTCTCTAATCCCTTGATTTTGATCGGGAGGGTGTTCTAATGGATGGTCCATATCTCTTATAGATGAATCTAAGGTCTGGACGCGGGAGCACTAGTGCGGGGGCGGCTCACGGTCTTGGCGAGGGCCACGACGAGAGTGGCCGAGGCCATGAGCCCAACAGGGAGAGCCATGGGGCTCCACTTCTGGCTCCTCCTCCGCCACCGCCGCCTCCGATGACCCATGCTGAGATGATGGCAGAGCTGTTGGCTGCTCGTCGGGAGTCAGCTCGTGCCATGGACATAATGGCACAAGCTATCGCGACCCTCGCCCGCGGAGGCCACGGGGGCAACGGTGGGAATGGGGGTGGTGCCCACCGTCCTGAGGGACTGTCCTCTTACCATGACTTCCTCAAGACTCACCCACCCACCTTCACCCTATCTGATGAACCCCTGGATGCGGAGCACTGACTTCGCATTCTAGAGCAGAAGTTTCTGCTGCTCGACGTGGCCGACGAGCAGAGGGTGCGCTTTGCAGCGCAGCAACTTTTGGGGTCCACAAGTGCATGGTGGGATATCTTCCATGCCATGGAGCAGCCTGATCATCCAGCAACCTGGCAGGAGTTCACCACTGCATTCCGAGAGTTCTTTATCCCTACTAGTGTTATCAACCGGAAGGTGACTGAGTTCCTAGAGCTACGCCAGGGGAGCATGACAGTGATGGACTATGTGAATAAGTTCAATCACTTGGCTCAGTATGCTGGCATTCATGTGGACACTGACGACAAGAAGAAGGACCGCTTCTTTCGCGGTCTCTCTCCCATCCTTCAGGAGAAGCTGTACACGGTGAACTATCAGACCTCCGGGGCGCTGATGAACGCCGCCATTGCCATGGAGGGTTTTCAGCGGGAGTCCCAGGCTGAGTGGAAGAGGAAGCAGGTGGCTACGGGGTCTTCTAGCCACCCTCACACTTAGAAGATACAGGTTGTCCGACGGGGGCCCTATCAGTCATCAGGTGGGCCTTCGTTCCGATAGCCCCAGCAGACTTCCCAAACTTCCTCCACACAGTACCGTACACCCCTACAGCAGGTGCAGCCCTAGCAGTCTCAGGGACAGCAGGTCCAACCTCGTCAGGGGTTTGGGAACAAGCCAGGTGCTTGCTTCAAGTGTGGCAAAGATGGCCACTATGCCCGAGCTTGT